ATTTAAAAGATGGGTAGATGTGGTGCTTAGGGACATGGTTTAGTGGTGGACTTGGCAGTGGGCAGTTAACGGTTGGACTCGATCTTAAGGGTCTTTTCCAACCTTCATGATTCTATAATTCTACGGTCATTCAAAGCACTCTCAAGAATTGGTGGTGTCCTGACGCTTCCACACCAGAGATCGCCCTCCACCTGGTTTCCCATTTGAGCAACAACCCTGAAAGCAGCTGTTCCAGGGCGACACGCGTAGGCGTGTGCTTCAACAGCTTGCGGTCCCAATTCTGCAATTTTTCACCATTCTGGTTTACACAAGGGTCAAACCGCTGATGCAGCATTCCTCTGTAAATCTCACAAGAAGTCTATGCCATATTTGGAATAAAAAAAAAAGAATCCTAAATACGTAACCATAATACTCTTTACAACAGAAATTTTCAAGCAAATAGTTTTACTCTTCAAACTCATGTATGCAAAGTTTATTAGCAAGCACTTTCTACCAAATCTTTCACAAGGCTTTACAAGCCACCTTTTCAACGAAGAAAGGTTATTTCTGCTTTGCATGGCCATGCCTTCCTGGGACCCAGGCTTTACAAGCAATTAGAACAAATGGCTGCCAGTATTTTAAGTGTAACCATGTTTTGGATTGCTGCAGGTTTGTTATCCTGCCAAATGATGTATTTCCTTGATAAACTTGCAGTGATAAATATGTTCCATGATTGGGATGGGTGATGGAGAATAATGAAAGAAAAAGGAGAAAGAAAACTTACTAGTATTCCACACCAATGCAGATATAGCCAATGTTTCCTTACACCACGAGTAATTCCCAAAGATCCCTGTAATCATTTTAAAACAGCCCTCTTAGCACATCACTTCTCCTCCCTCCAAAACAAAGCACCCTCCTTAAACTATATCATACATCCCTCACTATACATTAGCCTCCACACATTCAAGAATACAGTAGAGTATAACAGGTTTTAGTCTAAAAATTCAGATACAGACCAACTCCTTTTCAGGACACTGTTTTACCCTTTAGAAATCAAAAGCTCCCAAAGTGCCATCAGTTACCAGGATTTTACAGTTTTCTTGGGGGCGCAGGGGAGAAGGTTTGGTTTTAATTGCAAGCTCCAAAAAATTCTCAATTATTGAACCTAGTTCCTGCTACTAAGGACAACCGTGTCATTTTCATCCTTTCATTCACTGCTGAATTTTCACTTCTGTCAGTTCTCCTGTGTACCTCTCCCAGAGTGCTTCAGAGGCTGTTCCAAAGCCTTACCACCTGGCTATTCTGAACCTTCTTCTAGTCCCCAAATTGTAATTTATCGTACAAGAATTATTAATGTCATTTATTAAACCCTCCCAGGAAGCGATCCAGCAGAGTTCCTTTTTCACCAAATGTCAATTGTTGTCCTTCATCCATTGCTCAATCCATTGCAAAATCTGATCCAAATTCTGCTCTAGGTCTTCTGGAGTGTTGCTGGGTAACTGGTGTACAATTTCCTCTCGATATGACAACACAGCTTCCTCATAAAGTGTCTGAAAAATTTCACACTGAATGTTGTCTTGCAGCTTTTTCCCTTTGTAGCCTCTAGAAAACAAGAACAACACCGAGAGACAGTCTTAGATATGCAGAGATCTATAAAGAGTATTCTATAGAGCATCAGTAATTTATACCCTAGAAAAATCAAGTCACACACAGTACTTTACTCCTTATTTACTCCACTGACATACCTGCTTTCAAGTCTGTCATACAGAAATGAATTTTCTGTACGAAGTACAAATACTATATGAAACCACCGTTCAGGGAAAAAATCACAGCCGTGATAATCGATAATAACTCCACCCTCACTCATTTTATCTTCTAGTTCATCAATTACCTACAAAAGAAAGAAAGATAGGCAAGCTTATCTGAAATTACAGAAAGTCAAAATACAAAAATGCTAGGTTTTGAAGTTGGACTTACCCTGTCTTCATCCAAAATCGGACAATCATATTCCTCATCAAAACCTTCATACAGTTCTCCTGCAGCAAAAATAATTTGTGGAATTTTGTGAAGTAACAGCAGCTGTTAAAATTATTTATATTGTTATGTTTATTTCAGGAGGATACAAACAAAAGATAGTGTTCAGAGCAAGAAACACTTTGTTTACAAATCCATGCAAGGATAACTGTGTTATTTATTACTTACTACAAAGTATGCTACTCTTACATAAATATTTTTTTAAGTCATACCACCAAAAATATTTATGTTGAAGCAAATTCATTGCGTTTTCATTTAATATATAATACGTGCACTATAAGCATGTAGTTCCACAAATCAAAAATATCCAAAGTACTTTGATGGACTGCTTTGTTAACATGGCCTACCTTCTTTTGCCATGTCACCCACATTAATATAGGTCATCCCAGCTCTTGACGCAAGTTCTTTTCCGAGCGTGGTTTTCCCAACGCCTGGAGTACCTAAAGACAAAAACCCATATAAAACGGTAAGAGAACAGTATGCAAGTCTTCTTCAAATCACCTTCTAAGGAGTAAAAATGGAAGCGTTTCTCAATGTTGCTAAGTTTGTGTAAGACAAAGGGGGCAAAAAACTGCACGACAAGGAAAAACAAATAGAAGCAATGTCTAGAGATAAAAAAACCCAACCAACCAAACAACAAAAACTACGAAGAAAACTCTCATTTCGTGCAGAAACGTTATTCTAACCGGGATGATGCAAAAGTAAACCTTGCTTCATTTAAAAGCCCTACCTAATACGGAAAACCCCCAAGTTTTCAAGCAGAGCATCCCGGCACCGCCTCCACGGGGACCTCACCCCCCCAGGCACCCCGGCTGTAAGCACGGCTGGGGGCCGGCCCCCCCCCGCCCCCCCCGGCCCCCCCGCCGC